TAGGTGCCGCAGGGGTCTGTGCTGGGCCCTACACTTATCCTTGTTTATGTTAACGGCACGTAACTACACAGTTCACAGACTTACACAGTTCCCTACAAGCTGTAGCTGTTGACATCTCAACCGAATATTCGGGTAATAATTGATGATGATGATATTAGGATGCGGGGTTTGTGCTCCCCAGGCACTGCGGCCTACTGGCTTATTACCTTCCTAGTTCTCTAGTTCATTGCAATCGATTCAATCCTTCTTCTTAAAAGTATCAGGTCATTGTCTGTTGCTTCGACAATTTCATTCTTTAGGTTTTTCCTATATGCCAGGTTATGTCTCCATTTGGCATTGCTTCACATGATGATATGAATGTCTGTTTCTTCCTCGTCATTACATAATCTGCAAACGGGATCATTATTACATATGCCTATGTTGTGTAAATGTTTTCTCAGATGCTAGTGACCGGTTAATAGACCTATCACTCCTCTGAGTTTAGCCCTCCCCAACTGCAGCTATGAATTTGCCAGTCTTGGTGAGAGTTGTTTCATCATAAGGTGACTGTGTCTAGCACCGCTAGAGTTTATCTACTTCTTCTATTGTTTTATTTGGAACCATTCTGTAAAGGAGGATTCTATATTTATTTTTGTTATCCCAAGAATAGGTTCGGGGTCTATGTATGGTCTTGCAGATCCTCCTCTGGCCAGTGTATGATTTTTCGTTACCCGAAGCACTTCTGTGCCTTGGCACCCAAGAGATAGTGGATTGCATTCACTGACTAACTTCGATGTGATTCTTTTACATGCAAATGCTTTAATGGCTGCTTGCCTATCAGATAATATGAGGATTTTTGCCATTTTAACCTGTTTTAAAATTTTCCAGGGCACAAGCAATGATGGCATGTATTTCTGCTTGAAAGTCCGACGTGTACTTCCTTAATAAGTTTGATCGCTCATGTTTTGGGCTTGTACAGAAAACGCCCTATGCCTGGTACCAGAGATACCATCAGGTTGTTATGTTTCTTCATAATTTGGAGATTTTGGATGCATTCTTGATTTAATTTTTTTACATGCTCATGCTTTTATAGCTGCTTGGATATACGATACAATATAGATTGAGGTAGAGAGTTGGTGTCCAAGAGGTTCGAAGTCACGATAGCTCAAGTGGTAGAGCAGCGGCGTATTGAGCCAAAGGTCGTGGGTTCGAATCCCGCTCGTGACACTGACTTTTTTATCTCAACCAAGACCTTCCATAAAACGAATAATTACTTGAATGAAGTAACTTGGTCAATTGACCACTAAAACATAAATGGACTATTTTTAAAGATTGATTTTCCTATAACAGTCTATCGTTAAAAGAAAATTCAACATTTATGTGCTACTATTATGGTTATTAAAATCCTCATAGAAAATGTAAAAATTAAAATGTTGTAAAATGATTGTAACCTTCCTAGTTGAGAGTGCCTCAACTTAGAAAGGACAGACAAGCATAGCTTATATATCTCAGAGTTACTACATGTAGTCATTTAAAATGGTCTGACCATACATAAAAATATGATAAAGTTCTTTTAATGAAAATATATTACGTCTTAGTTCAATCACATATTCAATATGTTATGGGGAGGCGCTTACATTGGCGCCAAATCGCTTAACATTGCCTCCTGTATTAAAAATTTAATTAAGAAAAAATTGCAACTAAAATCAGATCTTGGCCCTTTAATGACATTGGTGAGTTTGTTAAAACCTAAATTCATATAATAATTTATTTACTTAATTAATTTACCCACTTTGTATACATATAAACCGAAGCTTTTTTATTATTTTTAATTTTATATAACAATTATTTATAGACTAAATTTACAGTGAACTTCTTTCACTTACTTCAATAATTTTTTTTAAAGATTTTGATGTTAGCCTTTAAACAGATAATTCACTAAGGAACTCTCATTTTTGTTTTGTATTGATGCTTGATTTTTATTTTCTTTATGTAAATACATTATGTGTTTTATTATATTTTATTGTATTTTAAATTATTCTATTGCGTGAAAGATAGGTCATTTTTATTACAATGTAAAACTTCTCATGGCAATTTAAATGAAAAATTAATCTACGGCATTTTGGTCAAAGGAATGCTCAATACAAGACTGAAAATTTATTTTCGAACCAGGTTTGAAGATTTCTCCACCGGATTGATTATCATCATATTAATCTGTTCAATAGCCTAAAGTCAAAATCAAAATTCCTAAAACAGACTTCTTCAGTTGAAGATTGGTACGGCTTTTAGGTCAGGTCGATCGTGTTTAATAAACTTACCGTGCTGCAATGGTTAAGTGCTACACTTAACGGTCGTAACTAGTGCATAATAATTGACAAGGTATTAAAAAATTCAAAATTGTTCTTAATTTATATTCATTAAAAAAGTATATCGTCTGAACTCGCTGATTCTGTTACTTGTATTAGTGAAATAATTATATTATTCTGTTATATCTATAAAACAGAAAAATGAAACAATATATGTAAATGATTTTAACCTCGTTGAATCTGGAGTTGTAATTATTGCGAACCATTTTAGCATAAAAACTGCAAGCCAACACTAGTTACGTTTGTAAGAACAAACAAAAATAATAATAAATACATCTGAAATTATCTAATATTAAAAAATTATAATATTATGTCACGCACTTTGGACTTACTAATACTGAAACGTTTATACCGATACTAAACCAATTATCGAAAAAAAGTTTCAAAAATAAAACGCCAAGAATACAACTTTGCAAAGATCAAATGCACCTAAAAACACCACTGACGATTTTGTTTTGGTCTCGGAATAACAACATCAAATAATGAACTATTATTTAGAAATAAAAGTCTGCGGTTTAACCAATTGTTAGCTCCCTGAATGATAATATGTAGTACGACAATATTTTTAATTGTCAAAATCGTTGTTCTTTGATAAAGATAGGCTAAATATTTATGGACG